CTTAACTTTCACAGCTCATATCTCGATGAAGTTTAAAGATATCTTAATAAATTTATATTCAAAATAAAGCTTAAGATCCAAGCTTTCATTCGAATATAAATTTATTAAGATAGCTTTAAAATTCATCGAGATATGAGCTGTGAAAATTAAGGCTTTGAATTTTTTTAAAATGTCAATTTGCCTTATTTCTATTGACGGCAGCCCATATATAAATTATACGTATATAGCTATAAATATATATCTGATTTGCTTAAATAAAGATTATTAACAGTTTTTAAGATATGAATTTGGCCAGAGTTTGGGATTTGTGCATGTCCAAACCCAAACTTTGCCAATATTTATACTTGCGAACAATAGAATCTACAAAAAAAAGTAGAGATAAGCAGAAAAAAATGAGTTATTTTATTTCGAAATCCAAGTGAAAGTAAAACGAAGGTCAAAGTAAAGTTATGTAAGCCCGGACGACCTATGCTCGTTTGCACGTGTTTGTTATTTTCCTTTTTGGGTTATCAAATTGAAGCCGGAAGATGTGGGATCGCAGATTTTTACAAATTAGTCTTAGCATGAGTAAATTTAGAAAATCTGTAAATCACTTATTATACATAAACAGGATTTCTGTTACTTTTGAGTTTTGAGTTCTATAGTAACGGTAACCGTTGAACTTAGAGTTTTATTCCTCAAGAACATGTAAGTACGTAAGATTTTAATGCTAACCACATTTATCTTATCCACATACGTACAGACAATTTTAGCAAATAATATACTATATATTATCTAAAGCTTTTATTACTATAATTTGTTTTGATGACCTAAGTGAAACATTTAGATTTTAATTTTATATATCTACGTTTTTTTCAAAGTTTTTTTTTTGCTTTTTTTTTAAAGTTTAGACATACATAGGCATTGGTAGAGCAAGCTAAAAAAGGCTTAGAACATCAAAAATATACAGTACGAACGTATGTACGTCTGTACTTTGATGTTTCTATCCAAATTGGAAGAAGCATTGTTTTTATAAGATGTAACACACTTGCAATATATGGGTAATTGTGCCTCCTAACTCCGATAGGGTATTAAAAAAAGGATTATGATTGTAGTATATTATTGTTAAATTTTATTTATTTTTGCATTTTACCTCAATCATTGGGACACTTTTTTTTGGCAGAATTCAAAAGTTTCCCTTCGTATTCCAATAATGTGGTCTGCGATTTTTGTTATCTCCTTTATTACCTTTGCTTCTGGTTTAAATAATGGACTTGGCAGGACGCCTCCTATGGGATGGAGTACTTGGAATCATGTAAATATTTGTTTTAATCTTTTGTTTTTCAATAAATACGCTATCAAAAAAATTTAAATTTAATATTTTAAAAAAGTTTCAATGTGGTGTTAATGAAGACCTGCTTAAAGAGTCCGCCGATGCTATGGTTGATTTAGGATTCTTGAAAGCTGGTTATAAATATTTAAATCTTGGTGAGTTTATTGATTCGATAATCCCAAACTAAATAAATGTTATATATTATCATATTATTTTACAAATTCTTTTTGATTTACAGATGATTGTTGGGAAGGAACCAGAGATAAAAGTGGGTATATCAATACCGATCCAAAAACGTAGGTTTTTTTTTTTTTTTTAACATATTTTTGGCGTTTATTAATAAAAAAATTTCCTCGCAATTAAGATTTCCTGGCGGTATTAAAGGTAATTTGTGCATTTTAAAAATAGTATATCTTGGCAGATTTACAGGAAATACTGTTGTATATGAATGTATAATTAACTTTGACCATATTTATTTAAGCCCTTGTGGATTATGCACATTCAAAAGGATTATTATTTGGGATTTATAGTGATGCTGGACGTTTGACTTGTGCTAAACGCATTGGATCTCTTGGTAATTTTACTTTCAACTAATATCTGATTGTTTAAATGCAAGTAATTCATATATAATTATATAGGTTACGAGGAGAAGGATGCACAAAAATTTGCTGAATGGGAGATAGACTTTCTAAAATATGATAATTGCCACAATGATGGTTCACCAGAGAGAATACGATATGAGGTATGCCATATTTTAATAGATTTATGTTTTTAATGTTATACTAATATTTATGTCCTTTATTAGAAAATGGGACGGGCACTTAATAGTAAATTTCCGAATCTTATGACAATGTGAATAGAGATTATATAAAAAGATTATATAAAATTAACATGCTTTAACTTTATAGAGACTGGAAGGCCAATTTTCTATAGTATATGTGAATGGGGGTAAGGAGTTTAAAATATCGCAATGTAGAAGTTAGTTTACGGGTTGATGTTTTTTCAGAATCCGAAAACTTTCGTCTAAAGAATATAGATTTTACTAAAGCTAAACGTTTCGGCTAGACTATAACAAAGTTATAAGGGAGAAGGGGCATTGTGATGAAGTTAAAATGTTTTGTTTGTAGCCCGTGACACATTTATCAAAATTGAACAATTTTAGTATCACCTGATTCGTCTCATCGAGCCGAATTGAATGATATCACAATTATTCATTTCTGATCACTGGGTCACAACATATGTTGATTTTTCTTTAAAAAAAAGAAAATTTGGTCTTGGGTGTATTGTGGCGAATCGATTCTGATCACGGGAGCATGAGATATCCCAATATCATTAGCTCGAATTTGGATCTCGTGATCCCATGATCGGAATCGGGTAAAATTTGCACCATTCTCCTCTCATCGAGAGGAATCGAATGGTGCAAATTTCACCCGATTCTGATCATGGGATCACGAGATATACAATTCGTCATAATACTCCCTTTCGTCACCATACCCACTTTTCCCTTATTAGTCGAGTCCCGAAACGTTTCGCTAGAGCAAAATTAAGCTTCATCAGGGTAAAGGTTCGATTTAGTTCAAGCAATAAGTCAAAGTCATACTACTTATCCAAATTTTCATATTATCACATACTAGGAAAAGCAAACCTTTTCTTTGGGCTAAAGAAGTTGGCAATAGGTATTTTTTCATTACTCTAATAGGCTTATAATCACATTTAAACGCAATAAATAATAATCTTTTATATAAACTATAGCTGGAGGACAACTCTTGACATTAGAGCATCCTGGGCGTCTATTATATCAATTATACAAAAGCAACAAATGATTACTAAATATGCAGGACCAGGAGGATGGAATGATCCTGATATGCTTCAAGTAGGTAATGGTCATCTTACTTTAGATGAACAAAAAAGTCATTTTGCTATATGGGCTGCTTTGAAAGCACCCTTAATACTTGGATTTGATGTAAGTTTCATTTTCATTAATTAACCTATAAATTTTAAGTTTTAGTAACCTGACATATGTGTTATATGTTTATAGATAAGAAATCCACCTGCGGATGCAATGGAATTGGTGTTAAATGAGGAAATAATAGCTGTGAACGTAGGTTTAGTTTATATCCTTTTTTTTTTGTTTATTTGTAATTATTTTTTTTAGTAGTATTATTAATCATCCAAGATAAATGTAATTCAATCATATGATAGCAAGATCCGCTCGGAACATCCGTGTCCATCGTTCATCGCACACTTTTTTATGATATCTGGACCGGACCACTAATTGATGGTTACGTTGCAGGTATGCTTGTAAAGATATAATAAATATATTAATAATTAATTGTTTTGTTATATTTGACCTTTAATTAATACGTTCAACATATTTCTAATAGTTCTGTTTAATCGTGGAGAAGTTCCACGAGCCATTACATTATATTTTGCATCTCATTGTAATCTTGAAGGTGAAATTATGGTTCGTGATCTTTTGGAACGTGCTGATAAAGGAGTTTTTACAAAAAGGTTTGTTTCCTTGGGTTTTACCACAAAATCCCGACATCCAAAATCTCGACAGGCTATAATACTGATATCACGCGATGTGGCAATCAAAATTTAAGTCTGACAATAATTGTTAATGTGATTATTAATCTTTAAAAATTAATTGTCACGTCGGGATTATGGTTTCGACATTTAGATGTCGGGATCTTGTTTCCTTTATTATCAATTTTGATTCGTTATTGACTTTAATAATATGATACAAACAATTCAGTTACTTCTCGAGAGTCCCAAGACATGGTGTAACGATTTTAAAGCTTACAGGTGGCATTCCGGTTAAAAAGCACAATGAACCATTATTTTTACAACATATTTGGGATGATGATATTGTCGATACTGATGTTATTGTTAACGGCGATAGTTATCAGACTTAGAATGATAAAGTAGACAGTTTTAAGTTATTAAGATTGAACTTAAATAGATAAAGTTAGCCATGGTAATATAGGTAGTTAATATTATAGAATAAGAGGATAAAATATAGTATAGGTGACACCTACTTTAAATCAATTGATTATTTATTAAGGTGTCACCTATTCTATATTTTATCCGAATAGGATTGTAAAGCTTTACAAACTGTAGCTTAATATAAAATGGATATTTTGTAATACGTAAATTTTTTTTTAAAAAAAGGCGACGTATTCAAGTTTTACAGCTTTACTGTACAAATAAAAGACTTTTTATTGATTGTCGGAGAAAACATAAAGAAAAAAAAAATGAATAAAGCACCATATAAGTAAAAAGAATAAATAATAAATAGATGAAAATGAAATAGTTCAAAACATATAATAAATACGTATATGAATTATGTAGAACAGTGCAATTTGAATAATAAACATGACTAAGTAAAAAGAAAAAAAAGTATTAATGCCAACATAACCTTTGCTAATGATAAATGACTATATATAAAAATTTTATACAAATATTATGTGTTCCTACTCAAAAATAAAATTTCAATACATTAAGATAAAAAACGAGATAATAATAGTTTATGTAAATGTTTAGATAGCATAACACCAAAAGTTCTTAGAAGCACATGAACTTGCTTCTCTTTGCCATAAGCTCTTCCATACGATTTTCTAGTTGTCTTCTTGCCTTCTCCGCGCTCTCTTTAGCCTTTCTTTCTTCTTCCAAAACAGTTTCTATAACCTTCTTTTCTTCTTGCACAGATGATTTCGCATTTTCATATTGTGCTGTAGTCTCATCTAATTGTGATCTCAATCGTTTAATCTGATCCACTAAATCCATTTTTTCCCGTTGTAATATTTGTAATTGTTGTTTTGCAACACGAAGATTCGTCTCACTTTCTGATAATGAATTTTCCAACGTTTCAACAAGTTGTCGATGTTCAAGGCTTTCTCCTTCCATTTTTGCAACCTTCCTATGTAATTTATGTATCTCCACTGTAAGTTCTACTGCTGGTGTATTAGAAAGGTCTATATTTAAACCGTTTCTTGAGTTTGGTCGAGAAGATGGAATAGGGATTCGTGGTGTCGGTGATGCACACCCAGGAGTTGACGATCTTGAACCTGAAGTTGGAGGTGCTGATGGTAAAGGATGGCTAGGTGGTGGTGTAGGTGGTGGTGTCATTGGTTGATTTGCTATGGCCGCGACTCCTGGTCGTTTTTTCTTTGCTGCATCTGAAGCATTTGACATTACTGACATGGTGGAAAGTCGGAATCCACCAACCGCATCAAGATCTGTAGCAAACATTCCACTAGCAAGTGATACTTCATGTAATGACTCTTCATCACTACGTGATTCTAATTCAATTATTTTTTCTTGTAATGCTTTTATTAAATTACTTTGTTGAATAATAGTACTTTCTTGTCTTAAGAGTTTAGAATGTATAGAATTATCTAAACTTTGAGAACGTGCACCAATATGTGGTGAAATATTTCCTAAAGGTCCTTTGAGTGATTTCAGTCCAACTTGAGTCATTTCTTTTTCAAGCCTCTGGTTAACTTCAGTCAATCGTGTGACTTCTTTTTCCATTTCCTTATGCTCCTCTACAGATTTTTGTTTCAAACAAGAAACTTCACTTTCTAATTCAACAATCTTTCCATTTAATTCTGAAAGTTGTGTAGCTGCCTCATTTCCACCCTGACCTACCGATTGTAATTGTTGTAGTAAAGAATCAATTTTTTGGTCAAGTTTTTTTCGTTCTTCACAGAATGCTAAGTTAGCTTGTTCTAATCCTTCCTTTTCAGCTTCAAGTTCTTGTATTTTTTCTTTAAATCTCAAAATTGAATTTCCAGAAACATCATCTTTACTAACATATTGAAGTGTTTTGAGTTCACTTTCCAATGATTTTATTTTTTGCGTTAAAACAGACATACGAGATTGAGCCTGAAGAATTTTAACATTAAGATTCTCATTTGTTTGTCGTAAAATTTCATTTGTGGAAGATAATTTTGCGAGTGCAGGACTTGTAATTGTATCGCTTAATGAAGCATCGCTTGTTGGTGAAGAATAAACCTCTCGCAAATTTTTCATTTCTATGAGAGAATTATCTAGTCCATCAATTTGTTTCTTTTGTTTTTGCAAAAGTTCACCGGTATCCCCGTATTTAGTTGTAGAATCAGCAAAATCTCCAGCTAAAGTTTCTAGTTCTTTTTGAAGTCTTTCGACCTGTTTTAGAAGTTCTTCGTTGGCTTTTTCTTGTCCTTTCTTATCAGATTCAAGTTTCTTATTCATCTCTTCTAATTTATCAACACGTTCCTGATATGCTTTAGATTCATTACGTGCCTTCCTCAGTTGTTTATTAAGATCTTCGACTATGGCAATATCAACTTTTTGGAAACCATGGATTAAAGCATCTTTGTATGCATCGTCAAGTTCAGCTTGTAAGTTTATACATTGTTCTTTGAGCTTGTTAATTTCTTCTGCAGCATCTTTAACTTTAGAACTTGCTTCGTCATGACGTTTTTCAGCCTCTTGAATTTGAAGTTCCAAAGTCTTAATAAGATTAGTTTGTTCTGCTGCTGCTGCTCTAGCTTCTTCAAGTTCAGCCTTAACTTTAACTAAGGAAGCTTTCAATTCGACATATTCTGCTTTGGTTGATAAATCATCAGGATTTACTACTGTAACTTCTAATTCCATAACAAGATCAGATGATACACATTCACGAAGTTTTGTTTGAATACCACAAAGTTTAACTTCAAGCTCATTAACACGTTCACATTCGATGGCTTCTGAAATTCTTGCATTATCAAGTTGAATTTTGGCTTTTTCTGTTGAAGCTTCTAATTCTTTGAGAAGAGCATCTTTGGTGGAAAGTAATTGTTCCTTTTCTAATATAGCAGCATTAGTTTCTTTCAACTTAACTTCAAGTCCAATTACAACTTTTGAACGACTCTCTTCTTGTTTTTTTGCCTCGTCTAACTGTAATTCTACAGTAGCAAGATTATCTCTAAGTTTAACGATCGTGTCTAAATCCATCTGGGATGAAGTTTTTGCTTCAACAAGCTCTTCGCGCAATGAGGAAATAATTGATTCAAGTGTAGCAATAGCCACTTTTTGTTCATTTTCTTTGGCTTCAAGCTCCATGATTAATTCCTTTTCACGTTTAAAATATTGGTCACGTTCTTGTTCTGCCGCCATCATTTGAGTTCCTAATTCTGCTAAAAGTTGATTCTGTGCGCTCATTTTATGTTTTGCATTGAATAATTCTTCTCGAAGAATTGAAGCCTCGTGGTCATTAGTTTCGTTTGATGCAGACAATTCTTGAAGTTGAATTTCCAAAACCTGAATTCTATTCTCTCCTTCATCTCGTTGTTTCAAAGTATCACTTAATAATTTAGATAAATCTTCAAGTTTCTTGCTAGCTTCTTGATTGTCTTGTTTAGATTTAGTTAACTCCTCTCTCACTTGCTTTAATTCTCCTTCTATAGTGATTACAAGTTCCTTTTGTGCACCAAAATCTTTTTTTAAAAGATTTAATTCAGTGAATGCTTGTTCTTTAGCTTGAGTGGTTTCTTGAAGTTCTCCTTCGAGAGTAGTTATAATTTCCTTTTTTGCACCAAACTCTTTTTTTAAAAGATTTAATTCTATGAGTGCTTGTTCTTTGACTTGAGCAGTTTCTTGAAGTTCTTTTATTTGATTTTGTATTTCTTCTTCTCGTCTCATGATTTCAGAAAGTTGAAGTCTTAAAGCAGTAGCTTCGGATTCCTTATCCAAAAGTTTTTGTTGTATAGTATTTTTATCTGATAAATCTTTCCTCATTGCTTCAATGAGCTCATGTTTACTGTTGATGTCTAATTTTAGTGCTTCAAGTCGTGATCGTAACTCTGCAACCAATTCTGTTTCACTTGTCAAATTTTCAATTAAGTCAGACTTACTAGATAATTCTTGTTGTAAAGCTAAAAGATTTGCTTCAAGCATATCAATAGTTTTCTGTGTTGGATCAATATTTGAAGTCGAATCTTTTGCTTCATTAAGTTGATCTTCAAGGTTTTTAACATTGTTCTCGACCTCTTCTCTAATCTCATGCTCATCTAATTCACTAGTTGCTCCACTATAAGCACCATCAGTATATTCACTAGCAATAACGGAAATATTATCAGATTGTACTAAAGCATCACGCCTATTAATCTCATCTTTTAATTCTTCAACTATCTCCAAAGTTTCGCGATGAGTACATTGTAATCTTGCAAATTCCTGTCTAACAGCATCTAGTCCTTGTGATTTGTCTCGATGAAGTAATTCAAGCTGTTTTAATTCGCGTTGTAATTTTTGTACTATTTCAGCATGAGCCTGATCGCGTTTCTCTTTATCTTTAATTTCTACAGTTAAAGATCTAGCCCTGCGATGGTTAGCGCGTTTTGGAGATGTAGTACCTTTATCATTAGGTTCGTTTGACTTTAAAATTGGTGGTAAGGACATTCGATCAGAATTATTTTTACGTTTTAAATTATGAAAATGGGATTTTATTGGTGTCGTAGGTGATGTCGGAGTTGAAGGAGTGGAAGATTTAGAATCAGAATCAAAGATTTCGGATTGACGAAGTTTTGCTTCCGTTAACTGCTGTTGAAGTTCATGAATTTCATACAAACATTCCTCATATTTCGATTTAATTTCTGAAAATTCTGAAACTGTGTTTGAATGAGTTTCTTGTAAATTTAATAATTTTGATTCTAATGTTGCCACAATGAGTTGTTCTGGTTTTTTAATATAATCTTCTAAAGAAGTAGGAGAAAGTGATCGACCACAATCAGGAAACTCATTTTCATGAGATTTAAGCCTTCTTAATAGTTCTAACTCGCGTACTAAATCATCAGCTTTCTTCTCAAGTTTCATAATTCTTCGGTCTCTATCTTGAATTTCATAGGCCAATAATTTTTGATTTTCTTCTAGAGAAATTTTCGTCTTCTCTTCTAATTCCATGTATGCTGCTTCACGTTCTTCCAATCTTTTTTCAAGTCTTTCAATAGTTTTACTGAATTTTTCAACTTGTTCCTCACTTACTTTTAGTCTTGATTCCAAATCACTAATGTATCCTTCACTATTATCCGAATTATTTTTCAAATGAGTAATCTTATTTTTTAATTCATTAATTAATTCTTGATCTTTTTGTTGCTCCATCACAAAAGCTTCCAATTTATGTTCCAAATCTCTGATGTAACCTTCATTAGTACTTTCGTGTTCAGTCAAATTAGCAATTTTTAATCTTAACTCATTAATAAGAGTAATATTTTGATCATTAATTCGTTCAGCATGCGCAAGTTTTGATTCTTGTTCTTGCATAACAGTTTCTGTATGACTTAGAGCAGCTCTTGCAAGTGCTAATTGAGATTCCAAATTTGAAATTGATTTTTCATATTCTTCAATTACAGGTTCTACAACTTTTTGGAAGTTTGCCAATTTTAATTCTTCCTCCGCTTCTTCAGTTATGGACTCTAAACCACTTTGAGAAGCCAATTTAGAATTTGTTGGAGTGACAGTATCAGAAGAAGAACCACGTAAAGATGAAGAATCCATATTTTCTTGATGAATAGCAAGTTCAGCAGAAGTTTTTGCATATTTTTGAGATAATTCGGCATAAGATCTTTGTAATTCAATTAATTGTTCTTCAAGAATTTCAATATCTTTATCATTTTGTGATTTTGAAAATTCATCAGCATTTGTTACTATAGAAAGACTTGTTGAAGATCTTTTCGAACCTCCTCCATAAGCTGATGTAGGTGTACTAGGAGTATTCCTTCCAGACATCATAGTAGGAGTATTCCTTCCAGACATCATAGTAGGAGTATTTCTTCCAGACATCATAGTAGGAGTATTTCTTCCAGACATCATAGTAGGAGTATTTCTTCCAGAATTATAAGAATCATTTCCACCATCAATTAAACCATTTGGTAAACTTGTACTTTTCAAAGCTTTAATCTCTTTTCGTAATTTCAAAACCAACGCTCTTAAATGATCTAAATCATTCCAACCAACTTCTTCAGAATTAACGGTAGCAGTATTTTTAATATTTCTTGCACGATTAGCATATTTAAGGGTATTTAAAGATTCAGTAAGATTTGATTCAGTAGGTGATACGCAAGCAATCATTAAAGTTCGTGCGTTACCACCTAAAGAGTCTTGTAGTAAACGAGTAAGCTTTGAATCACGATATGGAATATGAGTTATGTGTTTAGCTTTAGTAGGATCACCAAGAGCGGATATTACATTGCCTAGAGCTAAAAGACCTGAATTTATAGAGATGCCTTCCTTTGCACGTTCCCCTATAGCAGATGTTCGTTTCAGCTAAAATAAATAAATGATTAAAAAAAAATTATTTTTTTTTTAATGAATACATAAAGAAAATAATAATAGTATAATAATAGTATAATACATACCCTTTCACTACCAGCCAAATCCACAAAATGAAATTTACTTGAAATCGAAACACATTCATTATCATCTAATTTTCTACTCAACCTCAAACTACTTCCTGGCCTTATTTTTGAAGGTGTTGATGGTCTGCTGGTAGGTGATATCGGAGAATTTGGAAGGCTATTGGAGTTGACATATTGGGTCATCGTGACACTAAAGATTGCGTGAGATCTTGAAGATTGGGCATTCATATCCGTTGCTCCTACTTGACGATTTTGAGAACCTCGGGACAAGTGACTTTATGTATAAGGAACATAACAGTAATAAAAGTAATAAAAGTAATAAAAGTAATAAATTAGTAAAAACAAAAAAATAATAAGAATAAAATAGTAATAAATAGTAAAAATAAAATATATTGTAAGAAATAAAATAAAATAAAAAAATTAAAAATAAAATAATAAAATAGGAAATTATGAACCTAAATTCGTAATAATAAACATTTACCTCATAACGTCTTCAACGCCATTAACTTTAATCTCTTGCAAACCATTCCAAATTATATTTCCTTTAGAATCTTCTCTTATGGTAACTTGAGGTTTATTATCATCACCAACATTATCCGCAAACAAATCTATTAAATCTTCGTTATAAATTTCAATGAAACTAACTTTAATTGAAAAGTTTCGAGATTTCAACTGCGAAGAATTCATTGTTTTGAATAGAGTTGAGATGGCACGTGGAATTATTCCTTTAGATTCCGAAGGAATGTCATGGTTGTTTGCGGTACCCATTGTATGGGTTTTACCGGATGACGTCTGACCATAAGCTAGGATCGTCACATTGTAACCTTTGGAAAATTAGTTGATACAACTTGTTAATAGCATGTTTCATATTTTTTATACTTTATTAATCTTGATTATATTATCGTCTTTATATATATAACACACTTGAGATTATTTATTTATCTATACAATTTTATTTTTATAATTCTGAATACACTGTATTTCTTTAGGTCAATCGTTAATACAATCGAGTTTTTATAGACTCAATTGTTTTGACACATTTGTATCTAAAGAACGCAATGGTTACAATTATTCCAATACAGATCACTTATATATATCCCTTACTATTCTTTAAAAAAAAACCTACCCTCTAAAAACTGATGGACTAACTTCTCGACAGCTTTTCCATAGACTTCAGATTGGCCAGTTTCGGGACCAAAAACATAATCAAAATTAAAACATTGTTTCTTTTCTCCTTGTACTACCACCACCTGATTTGGAGATTGTGGAGAAGTAGCGACCACAGGGCGTTGAAATCGAGATTGCTTTATGGATGAAGCTTCATTTACTATTGGTCTTATTCGGATGGCTATAACGAAAGAGATTTATTTATGAGTTAATGTTTAACGCGTTATTCACAACAAATATTTCTTTTTTATCATATTTAGAACATGAAAAAAAAAACGAATGCACTTACCAACTTGTACAGAAGTCTTTTCCGAACTTCCGATAGTAGCCATTAGCTCTTTGGCAGTAACAATTTATGTATTTCAATTTTTTTTGTTTTCTTTTTTTTTTTTTTTTTTTTTTCTCTGATGTGCTGTAGAATAAAACGATACTTTACAAATAGACAATAAGTGCAGCCGTGAATATTGAATAAGTATATATCAATAATAAGGAACAAGAAAGAATTTGGGTTCCAGCCCACTTTGTCGTCAGCTATATATTCGCACTAAATTGAAGTATATATATTACACGATTTTTAACAATATTTTTATGATTCAAAAAAAAAAAAGATAAACGTCGAAATTTATGGTAAAGGTGATGTTCGGGAGTTAATGGTATAAAAAAAGGAATGAAAGGAAAAATGACAAAGTCGATTTAAGTATAGACAGGGTATAATCTAAGATCAAATAAGATCAATACCGTGGAAATATTATAATCCCAAAAAGCTGTCAAAGCGAATAAACGTGACGCTTCGGTATAAAAAAAAAAGAAAAAAAAAAAACTTTTTTTTTTTTTTTTTTTGACCTTTTCACAGTTGAGAAAGGATTTTTTTTTAAAAAAATGAAGTAACAACAGCTTTCAAGGTTTAATATTTCACACACTGCAAATACATCAATTTCTTAATAATAGTTGGTGCATTTAAGATGTTGTCGTACTTCGTTTTTCATTACTGCTTTATGCGATCGACGACATTTCTAAAAGAATATGATTGGTGTTAGTCATATTAATATGTAGTATTTGGCATTATTGTTGATCGACATGGTCCTTTGACAACAATAAAGACTATAAGATATTCAATGGCATCATATTTTATGTTATGAAAAAACAAGCTTATGTTGGTAATTTGCAAGATTTAATTCATTTTTTTTTACTTATATGTTTAAACTGATTTCGCGAAATTTCTCATACATTTTTCATTTTAGAATATTTTAGAATCATTGAAAACGTCATATTGAAAAGAACTTTTTATGCTATAGTAGGTAACAAAAAGGTAACAAAAAGAAGGTAATTATGATGATAAATAAAACTTTATCGTCGTGCATAGAATTTACACGGATTTGAATCTTAATTGAGTCCATTGTTAGATTACTTTCAGAATGTGCGGACAGGAACGAATCCATAAGGTAGCGTAAAGATTATTAATAAAGATGCACTGGATATAAAAGGTTTTCTAAAATGTGTAAGAGATCCAAAAAGTTTCAACAATATAGTACCAAAGTTTTTGTAATATTATTTGATCAAATAATAATAATCTTACATTCTTGTATATAAATAAAAAAGCGAACATTCAATTTTTGTACATAATCCGCATAAATATTGCAATTAAAATTTTCGTTTTTTACCTTATATGTAACATTATAGCGTTGCATGAATATCAATCCTTCCATTTTTATGGTACTATAGTTACACTAAAAGCATAACACAAATTAACGATATCGAAAATTTTTAACTCTCTACGTATTACCTTTGCGTTTTGTATAACCATCCTATACTTTCGAAAACGACAGTACATTAACTCTAAAAACTTTAGTATCTCTCCTTACATTTTTTGCATTGTTAATATTATCCGAAACTTATTACTTACAAATTACACATGAATCAATTAATTGAATCGGTCACTAATGTATTATTTGAAATACAATAATCACCATGCCCAATTATAACCTTCAAAAATCACATGATCTGCACAAACGAATCAAACAGCAAGGGACCAATAATTTTACATAAACAAATCCGCAAGAGAATATAAATATTAATAAAATAAATACAGATTTGTGAAATTGGTTATTCTTACCTGCTTATACGCAGAAATTCACGGATTCGATTTAACATACGCATGATCATAAATATGCATCAAAAATTAAAAACTCGTGGAGTAAATATTCGTGCATACAAAATACTTAAAAACTTATGACCAAGTGTCTCTACTGGATACCCTCCATTAAATAAGTAATATAGCTTTTAGTCACATGCCTTAATTATTCAAATAAAATTAATAAACCAGTTTTTAGATTAGTTGATCATCAATTTACCTAAAGCTAACCAATACGTCGGTTTCTATTTTTAGTTAACAAACATCAAAATATATGTTCTGTTTTTCTAGTAATAGAACTTTGCGCTATGACGTATTATACTGGTTTAACTGGTATTGATGCTAAAATTTCAGTCTCATAAACAAGTTTTTAGGTGCATAAGGCCGTTCGAAGTTAATTCTTCGGTTAACATCACTTTCAGAACTTTTGGGAGAGGGGGGGGGGGGGGGGGGCAAAATGAAACGAACATATAAAAATGGTGCGATTTTATTGGTCGATGTAAATCAAGTAATCGGTGAAAGCTAT